GGACATTGCTTTTGAATGAAACAATGCAGAGAGTCCTGTCACTGTCAGGACCAAGGCAAGGTTGGCATTATTCACATTATTTACCATTGTTTGTGAAATTTTAGACAATGCAATAAGACATACAACTTAATTAAGATAAATAACTATTGGAAAGGGAAAGATAAAATCATCATCAATTACAGATGATTATTTACCTAGAAAATTTGTAAGAATCAACTTGAAAACTATTAGATGCATTTTTTTGTTAGTGCTGTCAAGTCAATTTCAACTCCTAGCGCCCCTGGACACAGCAGAGGAAACTCTGCCCCAACTTTTTGCGCCATCCTCTCACCTATATCAGGCACTATATCGGACAATGCTCTGCTGCTATTCACAGGGTTTTCATGGCCAATTTTTTCGGCAGTGGGTGGCCGGGTCCTTCTTCCTAGTCTGTCTAGTCTAGAAGCTCTGCTGGAACCTGCCCACCATGGGTGACCCTCCTGGTATTTGAAATCCTGCTGGTATTTGACATAGCTTTCAGCATCACAGCAAAACACAGCTGCCTTAGTATGACCAGCGACAGACAGGTGGTGTGGTTCCCTGACGGGAAACAAACCCAGGCCTCGGCTGTGAGAGCACTGAATCTTAACCATGGGACACCAGGGCTGGCTATTAGATGCTTTAAGGGGTTCATTAATTTAATCAGATTTTTTAAAAAAAGAAAAATAACAGCCTTCTAATCTAAGAGGAATACCCTACTATTATTGTATCATAAAATAATCATCCCACTAACATTTATTACACACCATGGGCCAGGTGGTGTGATGAACCATTTCTCCAACATCACCTTGTTTAATCATCACATTTAATCCTTCATTAACCCTAATGAGGTAGGTACGCCTCTTCTCATTTTACAAAAATAAAACTCTACAAACTTATACAGCTTGCCCAAAGAGAGTGGCAGAACTAGGGTTCAAAATGGGGTGAGGCCTCAAAGTCTACCCACATCCTACTAGCCAGTGCTGTTAGGAAATACAGGGGTAAAAAAGGAAGGTCAGGAATGAGACAAATAATGTAAAATGCAAAAGAAAAGCTATGGTAAGGAAAGTTTATGATAGAGCAAATTACAAAACCTTACCAGAGAGTATTAAAAAGGTAAGTATATCTTCCAGGATGTATATGTGTGTATGCACACGCAAGCACACACACACACATATACACTCTGAAAGCTGGAAACTGAATATGTCTGGATTCTTCATGCTTTCGGGAATGAAAAAAGATTTCTCTGTTGCTCTTCAAGTATGAAAACAGGCTTATGAAAGGTTCTTAAGCCTCAGTAATTACAAAAAATGGATTGATTTTTATTTCCTGTATGAAGGGAAGATAAGTCAGAAAATACAAGTACACAATATCAGGATGTGAGCAAAGTTGATCTTTTCGGAAATCTGTAATTTGCATACATTATTTTTCTACCAGAAACAGGAATGTTGAAGAAATAAGTATATGCCTGTGGAAATTCTATTTTCCTGTGGTTTTCAGTCATTGCAGACTTACCCTTTCCCTATCCGGGGGGAGGGTTAAAAACCCACAATCATAACCACACAGAAGTGCACTTGTAGAAGCTGAGCCTCCGAAACCAGATTAAAATGGACCACAGGGAGGCAAGTACCGCTGCCAAAAAGCGTGCAGTCAAGACGGTATAAAACCCAAATAACGAAGGCTCTGCTCCAACCAGCAAGGATGTATCTAATTCATTTTATACTCCAACACTGAGCAGAGAACCCAGTGCAGACCACGGAGTCCAGCACTGAGCACATGCTGGTCCCCTGCATTTATAGAGGATTTTGCTTTCATGCCTAAGCTCTCCAGTTTTATAGAATTCAGTTATCTATTTAAAAGGAATTTTAAGCTTGAACCGAAGAAATCAAAAACATTACTTTTTGCAAAGTCAGGAAGCTTATTATATGCATTTATAGTTCAACCAACCCTCTCTAAAGGATGACAATTAAGTTGTTCATTTTCTGTTTTGGACTGTGTGATGGTCTCTGAGCCTCAGTTTCCCCAACTGTAATATTTCGGTTAGTGGGGATCCATGGTTCATTTTAATGATACCATTCTAGGATTGTACAACACAATACACCATCACAAGGTTAAATTGCTGTTTAACTGAGTGGTGAAGGATTACCAAGCTGAGCTCTGTTAAAATTTGTAAAACATGTTCCAGATACACAAGAGAATGTCAGAAAGCAGACCGGCACCTTCACAGCAACCATCTGAATCTTGAATTACATTTCTGACATGTGCAAGGAATTTCTCTTCCCATAGCAGGTCAAAAGGCCCACAGTGCCAATAAGGATAAATTCAATTAGTCAAGTTTCACAAAACTGTAATATCTTAAATGGATCCAAAGATCATTCTACTACTCCTAAGTATATACCCAAGAGAAATGTCCATACAAAAATGTGTACAGAATGTCCAGGGCAGAATTATTCATAATACCAGACATGTGAATAATCCAAATTTCTAACTGATGAATGGATAAATAAAATGTAGTATATCCATACAATGGAATAGTATTCAGTCATAAAAAGAAATGAAGTACTGATTCATGCTACAACATGGAGGAACGATGAAAATATTATCCTAAGGGGAAGAAGATAGTCACAAAGGCCCAGATATTGCATGATTCTGTCTCTATGAAAAGTTCAGAACAGAGAGAAAGTATGTTAGTTGTTGCCAGGAGGCTGACACAGGCAGGGAAAATGGCAGTTTGAGGGAAAATGGAGAGCGATTGCTTAAGGGTACAAGGTTCTTTGGGGGGTAAAGTGTTCTCAAATTGACGGTAATGATGGCTACACAACTTTGTGAATATACTAAAAACCACCAAATTGTACCCTTTAAATACATAAATTGTGTGGCATGTGAATTATCTGAATAAAGCTGTTACCAAAAAAAAAATAGAAAATCATTCCAGTAAGTTCAGCCATCCTGGTGGTGGGGCCTGGGGTTATCTTAGTGGGGGCGCTGGGAACACGAGAGCAGATCCTAGCACTCTAACAGACTCTCCCAAATGACTCAGAATTCACCTGGCTATCTTTCCTTGGGCAACTCCAACTGGTATGGGGAGTTCCAAGGACCCAACACGTCAACGTTTCCCAACTGGAGGGGGACATCCTAGTCAGGACAAGACCTGAAATCAAGGATGACAAAGTTCTAGATGAAATTGCGAGTCTATCAATGGAAAGGTTTAAAAGCTTGAGACTAATAAAGTAGATTGGGGGGTGTGCGAGCCACAGCAGGGCTCATTTCTGCTCTCGTAACGAAAGACAAAGCTCCGCGTCTCTGATGAAACTGCAGCAACGTAGTGGCTCAGAGGTAGTAGAGATAGCCGACATTTTGTAGTAATGTAGTAGAAAGTTCCAGACATCTATAATTGCAATTGAATAGGGGACATTTTTGCATCTCAGCAACTATCTCTAGAGAGTTTCCCCCAGACTCAAGGAAGTACCAGTTTCCAGATTGCCAAGGGCATGTCAGTGTTAAGATTTCCCAGATGTAACAAAAGAGGTGCCCAGGATCCTTAACACACAGGGAGCAGGAGGTAAGCTTCGGGCAGTCTGTACATGAGGCCATGTGGAGGCAACAGAGCCTGTGTGCCCTGGAGAGGAGCGACAGCAGACACTTAGGGTCCACGTGAACCGGAAAGCTAAACTCCTGGGCCATGTGGGATGGGTTTCTAGGAACCAGGGAGAAGTAAAGTAAGACAAAAAGAGAAAATCTGGAGGCAGCTAAGGGTTCTTTTCGTAAATTCCACCTGTGTAACTCCACACGAAAGGCAGTAGCTTAGTTGAAGCCTGGGCGTAAAGCACATGCCACTTCATCTGGGTTTACTGCCAAGCTGGCAACGTTAGAGAACAGCTGTCTAGGATAGGTGGGTTTACGGGCTGAATGAGATAGGAAAGGAGAAAGACACCATCAAGTCATGGCGATTGGGAGGCAAGGATTGAGAATATACTCAAGAGCCTGGGGGACAAAGGGTGAGGGGCTCAGGCACGGTGAATGGGCCATGAGCCCTAAGACCTGAGAAGGAGCTTCAAGGAATGAGCTGAGGGCCACCAGGAGGCATGGAGTGTGCTCTTGAGCCAACTGCCTCCTAAGGCAGCAGCTCCTGGTATTTTCCCCACCATTGGCTGGAACTGAAGCCAGAGCATGTTTAGCCGAGCTGAGCCACGACAGCTGGCTGGAAGGTGCAGTCAGGAGTCAGGGCATAGGGTGTCAGGGGCTCTGGAATCCTGATGAGAGGAGTCTCCTTCATGTTAGTAGGAGATCTAGATTTCCTATTCGTGATTTCTATCTTCTTGCTTCTAATAGAGAGAGCCCTGGAGAATGACTGTCTGGACCCCTGTTCCCTGCCTTTTGGATCCTGAAATGCTTATATAACTTTGGGTCCGACTGCCGCTCTACTGAGGTCACCTGACTATATTGCCACTTCCTAATCCTAACAGGGTGCCCGGGCTACGCCTGCTTCCCCATACGTACACACACATCAGTCATAGTGGTCAGTTTGTTCTGTGCTGGTTTCTGGCCCAGTCTGCAGGCAGGAAACGACATACGTTCCAAGGATGACTTTTGGCTGACAGTCGCATCAGACACGGCAATCCCAGGCTGCCCCAATCTCTGTCCCTGATTTATGTACAGGACTGCCTCGACTTTCCAATTGTGTATTTCCCTATTTGTTCTCTACTAATTAGCGACCGCTCTCCCCAGCTCAGTTATACAGATGCTTAGGCCACAGGAACATACCATTTTGGGGGTCAGAATATAGTCTCCCTATCCTTTTTCTTTCTAGAATAATCTCAATGAAAAATAAGAGAGAGAAAAGGCATAGCTTTGAGTTATTTGAATGACTTAACCTCCTTTAGACTTTTGCTAATTAGCATATTTGGCTTACCCGATTGAGTAATTTCTCAAACCATTAGCAACACCAGACATAACTGTCCTTTAAGCAAAGGATCAAATACCTCCCAGACATGTCGCCGTGCAGGGGGTGAACCCAGCGTACTCCCAGTCATAAATCATCTCGCTGTCCTTCTCGGGGAGAGAGACGTGCAGCTCGCGGGAGGCAGGGCCCTCCTCGCAGGCTCCCAGGAGGCAGGGCCGCTCAGCAGGCGGCCGGGGGCCCTCGCACTCATCCTCCGGCAGCTCGGTCACCGTCTGCGTGAACGTCAGGAGCACCCGGCACTTCACCTCCCGGATCTGAACCCCCGGCCCACACGTGGCACTGCAGGCCGACCAGGGCTCCGGGATGAACCTGCAGAGAGCCAGGAGGCATGGGAAGGGGACACGGCAATCAGTACGCACAGGCCACAAGAAGATGAGCGACAAGCATTCTATGAAGGAGAAAAACAACTTCATCCAGAGGGAATCCAGTACATTGGGAATGCTATTCTTTTCTGGAGGCTGAATGATGTAGTTAACAAATTTGCAAATCTTATTAGCAACAGGAAGTTTTCACTGCAGATGTACTGAACCTTTGCGTGCATTTTATAATTCAAATTCGTGCTGTGACCTTTGCACAACATCATTAAAAGTTTTTCTTTAAGATTTGGCAATAAAGAAACCAATATGTAGAGATAATTTCTAATCTGATTTCTTCTAGGACATGGAGATTTTCACCAATATTCATTCAACAAACCTTTATGGAGCTTATCCTTTGCTAACAGGCAGAGTTTTATTAAACTGTCTCAATATTTAGGAGCTGAACGGTAGAATAACAAATGCTTTCTGAAAAGCAGACGAGGCCTTAATAGTCGTTTCTGTTTAATATATAAATACACAAAACTTCTGAATCTTCTTGAAAATACCAAAGGTATTGCACAATCTGGCTGAATAAAGCGTTTATTTCTTATCCTGAATTATTATCCACTAAATCACGGGCTGTCAACCTACGGCTGACAAGTGGAATCCGGCCCACCTGTTTCTGTACAGCCCACCAGCTAAGAATGATTTTTACATTCTTAAATGGTTTGGGGGGGGGAAAAAAAGAAAAGAAGGATAACATTTTGTGTCACGTGAAAATTACATAACATTCCATTTAAGTGTCCATAATTAAAGAGTTACTGGGACATGGCCACGCTCACTCGTTCACCTATCGTTTATGGCTGCTTTTGTGCTACATGGCAGAACTGAGTATTTGCAAAGGGACCATTCAGGCTGCAAAGCCAAAAATATTCACTATCTGGCCCTTTACAGAAAATGTTTACCAACTCCCGCACTGAATTTAAAATACAGATTCCGTAGGGACACGTATATTTAAGATACTCTGAAGCAATACTTGCATCATGAGACATTAATAAGTAATAGGCCAGAAAGCGCTCAGTGATAGAATAAGTTTGGAAAACTCTGGGTTCAATAATGTTCAACAGATTTATTTCCTACAAAACTTTTCCAAGGACCTTGATATATGAATGCAACTATAAATACTTAAGAGGGGAATATGGTGTGCATCATTTCATAAACTTAAGTGAATACAGACCTCTATCCACGGGATAAGGCGGTACTAAATAAGTTCAGAAAACGCCGCTGAGATGTTCGCTTAAGAGGCAGCTTCAAGGCTTAATGTTTAAAACCTCAGAAAGATACGGTGGTAAGGGTCTCACAGAAGTCATTCAACCTTCTTTCCCAGACAAGACTTCATTACAGTTGTCCACAATAGCACATCCCAACCAGCAGAATGAAGTGCCTTGGCTGTATATGAGCCCAAAAAGAACTATCAATAAACCTCCCAAATTCTGTTTACTGTGTTGAAAATTGTTGGGGGGGAACTCTATTCTCTAATTCTCACATTCCACGAGAGGGCTGCTCAACATCCCAGGATGGAGTGGGATCGGAGTAACAATGACACGTTTCCTCATTTCTTTCTTTGCTGCTATCCCTGATAGAACTGGAAAGGAGACTGATGAAATTTAAGATGAGGCATCCATACCATGTCACAGTATGAAGTCCTTTAAGAGAAGGAGGTGGGTCTATGTGAATTGATGAGGAACAGTCTCCAGTTCATGTTTTGTAGCTTTAAAAGGTTTGAATTTTCTAACCACGTGCATACTGTACTTTTATGGTCATTAATTTTTCTTCTCTTTTCTCCTTAGTGATAAAAACTTAAAATGTGGGATTTTGTTTTCATTCGAATTGGACTCTCATGTCTTGGTGATTTAGACTCCTGACAGAAGATGGGGTAAGTGAGAAGGCTTTCGTCCACTCCCAACAGGGAACATGATGGTCAGACCCAGCACTTTCCTGGGTGTCCTGCATGTTCCAAGTTGGTTTTCAAAGGTCCTATTAGGAGACCTCTTAAAAATAGCTTTCAGAGCAGTCCAAATTAGCCATGAGTGATTGGAGAGGGTGGCACGGCAAGTCAAAAAATTTATGCATCATCTAGCATGATTTTCTTCTATGTATTATTTCTTATTTAAACAAAAGATATTATAGTGTTCACACAGTTCTGAATCTTGTTTTCATTTGTTTTTGCCCCTCAGTAATTTTTCTTTTTTGAAAAGGAAAGAAAGATGCATGAAAATGTTTGAAGAGCCATGTCTGGGCAAAACACAACGAGAGCAAGAGAGCATGTTCCCTAGTCTTTGCACAACAGAAGAACTCGAAAAGAAGAGCAATTCACTAATGGGAGAGCTTAGACATGAAATGACAAAACAACAGAATACAGTGGAAAACTACAGAGCTGGGGAAACAAACCGTGATACATAACATGATTACAAATCTAACAAGTAATTCAGAACCAGGAAAAAAAGAGGAAAGAGCTGAAGATCAAATTAATGACAAAGAAGCAAGACTTGGAAGTGAATGCCATGTTGAGAGAGAGAAAGAGAAGCTCTTAAAGCAATTGTGGGGGGAGAGAGGGATGGGCTGCAAAGTAAACTTCTGGGGGTGATGAACATGTTCTTTATCACGAGTAGAGCTGGGGTTTCATGGCTGGATACAGCTTTTAAAACTCATCACTTTAAAGAGACACAGTTTATTGTATGTAAATTATTCCTCTCTAAAGTTTCTTTTCTTTTTTTTTTTTTTTTGAGGAAGATTAGCCCTGAGCTAACTGCTGCCAATTCTCCTTTTTTTGCTGAGGAAGACTGGCCCTGAGCTAACATCCATGCCCCATCTCCCTCTACTTTATATATGGGACGCCTGCCACAGCATGGCTTTTGCCAAATGGTGCCATGTCCACACCTGGGATCTGAACCCGTGAACCCTGGGCCACTGAGAAGCAGAATGTGCGAACTTAACTGCTGCGCCACCGGGCTGGCCCCTAAAATTTATTTTCCTAAATGCAGTTTTTAGTGACAAAATAAGAGCGAACCTAAATAATCTAATACTGAAGATAATTGGACTCTTCAAGTGGAGGTTCCAACACATGAAACAGACAGAGAATTCAGAAATAAAATATGTAAAAATGTGCCTAAAATACAGCTTGGAAAGGTACGCTGTCTTCCAGGAAACAGTGATAACAATGATTAACATAAAAACTAGAGTTTTAGGCAGAATAACGACCCTCCCAAAGATGCCCACACTCTAATTCCTAGAATTTATGAATATGTTACGCTACACAGCAAAAGGAATTTTATAGATGTGATTAAGATTACGGATCACGAGAAAGGGAGCCTAAGCTAGTGGGCCTAATCTAGTCAGATGAGTCTTTAAAAACAGAAATCTCTCTGGCTGGAGTCAAAGAGATGCAGCGAAACAAGAGACGAGAGATTCCAAGCACGAGAGGTAGTCGACCTGTGGTTGCTGGCTCCAAGATGGAAGCGGCCAGGAGCCAAGGAATGCAGGCGGCCTCTAGAAGCTGAGAACAACTCCTGGCCAACAGTCGACAGGAAAATGGAGATTCAGTTCTACATCTGCAGGGGACTGAATTCTGCCAACTACCTGGATAAGCCTGGAAGCGGACTCTCCCACAGGGCCTCCAGAGAAGAGTTCAGGCTAGCAGACACCTTGATTTTGGCCCAATGAGACCCAGAGCAGAGAAACTATCTGGATCTACTGGGCTTCTGACCTATGGAACCGTGAGATAACAAATTTGTATTGTTTTAAACCACTAAGTCTGAGGTGATTTCTTACAGCAGTCAGAAAACAAACGCAGCTGATTAAAAAATTAAAACTTTGAGGATGAAAAAGAATTCTACAGGCATCTAGGCACAAAAACCAAGCCTCCTATAAGAATAAAAAGTCAGGTGGACCTCAGACTCACACGACATTCGAAACCAGAGAAAGATGGGGCAAAAGTTTTGAGGGAGAATCAGGGTCCCAAGAATACTATGTCCAAATTGTTGTTCAAGGACAATGGCACTAACTTTCTGTAGGATAGGAACAAGAATAGTACCAACCTAATGGGGTTAGGAGAGGGTTAAATGAGAGGATGCCAGAGTGAAAAGCTCAATAAGTACAATAAAATAAAAATGGCAGAGGCCGGCCCAGTGGTGTAGTAGTTGGGTTCACAGGTTCAGATCCTGGGTGCAGACCTACACATCATTCCTCAGCCATGCTGTGGTGGCATCTCACATATAAAGTGGAGAAGGACTGGCACAGATGTTAGCTCAGGGCTAATCTTCCTCAGCCAAAAAAAAAAAAAAAAGGCAACAACTGACATTCACTGCATTGTTATTTATGTGAGATACTGTTATATGTAGTTCACACATGTTTTACCACTTATTCATAATGATCCTATCAGGAAATATTATTATTATTCCCATTTTACAGATGAGGAAACTAAGGTACAGAGAAGTAATTTGTTGAAAATTACACAGTAGCTGCTAGCATTATTTTACACTGCCTCAGCAGTACCATTTTAAGATCATCCAAGATGACAGTCAAAGAATCCAAGGAAAACTTGAACATATTGTTTGGGGGAATTTGTTTTTTTTTTGGAAAATAAATAAAACAATATCCAATTGGTTAAGTCTTCAGCATAAAAGAAGAATCATCTAACACATATCAGTGAAAGAAAAGCATATTTTGGGAAAATATTTATTATCAGAAACAGAAAGAAATGTTATAGCATCTACTTGAAACTTCATAACAATAAAATTCAAGGAAGCACTCTATGAAACGAAAGATAAAAGGCGGGATTAAAAAGTCAAAACACAGCTGAAAAAACCTTCTGGCTTAGTTGAGAAAAAACTGCACTAAAATAAATGTAAAGTTTGCCTCTGTAACAGAAGAAAATCCAAATGAAGAGAATGAAAGTACATTCAGCAACAAGGAGGGCAAGTGCTTTGATTCGAAGGAAAGCTGTGCTTCTAA